AACTTTAACATTTTATGATTTATGATTGTTTATTAAAATTGTGTTTATGTTCTGATTGGTGTTTTTTGTCGTTCTCCACATACCTTAGCATTGTATACAAAATGGATCTACCAACAGTTTCGTCTCATGGTGTGCGTGAAAAGATTGATATTGCTTGGAGTCATTGTAGTGAAACTAAAGGTGCAGATGGAAAAAAACAATATAGATGCCTACATTGTGGGCTTAGCTTTCCTGAAATCTGTTGATGCTTCTGATATTACAAAGGATGCGAAGACACTTTGTTCACTATTTGTTGAAGTTGTAGAATGGGTAGGCCCACAGAATGTTGTGCAGCTTGTAACAGATAATGCTGCAAATTATAAAAAGGCCGGTGAATTACTACATGAAAGGTTTGGCAACATTTATTGGTCTCCATGTTCAGCACACTGTTTAAATCTTATTCTTAAAGATTTTGGGAACATGCCTCACATTCAGGATCTTGCCCAAAGAGCTTCAAAAGTTACAATTTTCATCTACAATCATGTCTTTATTCTAGCTTGGCTAATAAAAAAAGAAGGTTGGAAAGAGATTATTAGGCCTGGAGCAACTAGATTTGCTACAACTTTCATCACTTTGAAAAGCATATCTGAACACAAGCAACATTTACAGGCATTTATAACAAGCAAAGCATTCTTTGAATCAAAGATTTCCAAAACAGTCAAAGGGCAAGAAGCATCATCTATTATTTTGGATAATCAATTTTGGAATGACTGTTTGGTAAGTTCCAAATTGACTGGGCCTTTAATTCGATTATTGAGAATTGTGGATTTGGATAAAAAACCATCAGTAGGATTTCTTTATGATGGAATGTACAGAGCAAGGAGAGCAATCAAGTTAATGTTTAGGAATGTCAAAAGGTTGTACAAACCTTACACAAGTATTATAAAGAGGAGATGGGATAGTCAGCTAAGACAAGGTATACATTGTGCAGCATATTTTCTTAATCCACATTTTCAGTATGATAAAGATAATTTTTGCCAAAAACCTGAAGTACTGCAAGGTTTAACTGAACTGATTGGAAATAAAGATATATGTCCTAAACCAACAGTAACAATGAATGAAGTTAGGCTTTTCCGTGACAATTTGGAAAGTTTTGGGAAACCAATTGCTCTAAGGATAGCCAAAGAAATGTAGCCTGGTAAGTGAAACAAATATGTTAGAATGCATTTATTCTATCATGCATATCAAATATTAATTAACTAATATTTATCTCTTTATAGATGAATGGTGGAAGATGTTCGGATCAAGTGCCCCAAATTTGCAGAAATTAGCTGTTAGAATTCTCAGCCAAACATCTTCCTCTTCTGGATGTGAAAGGAATTGGAGTGTATTTGAACAGATTCATACGAAGAGAAGAAATCATTTAGAACATCAAAGGCTTAATGATCTTGTTTTTGTTCGATACAACCTCAATTTGAGGAATAGGTATGAATACATGACTTGTAATTATATTTAGATGTCATTTTTGTATGATTGTATATCTTAATAATCTTTTAATTATATTTAGATTTCAAACAAAAAAAAGAAACTATGATCCTTTGGATTATACAAGCATAGAGATGGTGGATTTTTGGGTTCTTGATGAAGAACCAGTTTCAGAGCTTATTCTGGAGAATTTAGAGAATGAAATATATGCAGAAGATGTTATTCCTGTTGCTGAAGAACTTAATACTAGTTCTACTAAAGAACCTCAAAGTAAGTTCATAATTAGTTTAAGTTATATCATTTGAAAAAGATGTTTAATATATATATAATATTTTATATTCTAATATGCAGATGATGATGTCCTAGAGGATGTTCGAAATGACAATGAAATAATTGGCAATGAAGATATTGATGCTTTTGGAGGGGAATGTTTTGATGAACAAGGATTTATGGATATAACTTTTGATGCTTCAAATCTAGGAGACGACTTCTAGATTTATTTTGATATTTATGTTTGAATTTTGAAGCTTGACTTGATATGAAATTATGAACATTTTGTGTGATGACAAAAGTTATGCATTTGTTTATGTTTTATTGACTTATTTGAAGAGACACTTATAATATATGCTATTTGTTTATGTTTCATAAACTTAATTGATGTCATGTTTATGTTATTTTAATTAGGAGCTATGAAAATAGAATGTTGAATGAATGAATTACAGAAAAATTTGATTTTTATTTTATTTTTTAAATAATATTATGATTTATTACGTCATCCGATTCGACCCCGGTTCGACCGGTCGAACTGTGAACCTCTCCTTCCTCCGGTTCGTTGTCCGATCCGATTCTGAAAACCTTGGATTGGAGTTAGTAAGTTTTTTCTTTGTTTTTTTTTACATATGTTTTGTAATCTTTTGTAAATTGGGAGATGATTGCCCCTGTATATATATATATAAAAACCGAAGTATTGCCTTTCGTTATCGCTGCCTCTTTTCCTTCCAGTTCTCACTTGCCATCGCCCGTGGCTCCCGATCATCGCGATGAAGCACACTAAGCCAGTCTTCTATTTCCTATTCGTTGCACTTATCTTCTCCTGCTCGTCCCTCGGCTTCCAATCCGATGAACTAGTCATAGACGATGAGGAGTTCGGCATCGAGGGCGGACGCGCCACTGATCCTGTGCACGCAATACCTACTTCAACCCCTGCAAGTCGCCGGCGCGTGGATCTGGATTCTTCTTCAGATTCCAAGTCGGTGCAGTTCACGCTCGAGCACGCCTTCGGGGATTCGACCTACTCTCCCGCCGGAACCTTCACCGCGCGTCTTAAAACCTGGAGTCATGGTGGAAAGGTGAGGATTTTTTTTTTTTTTTTCATTTGTGATTCTTCTACTAGACTGGTGTCCACTTCGTTTCGCACAAAAGATTGGATTTTTGTTTGGTGCTTATTTAAATTTGATTCTTTCATCCAATGAAATTTTTATCTAGTTCCGGTAATACATATTCTCTATTTCATTTTTTAGATTAAAGAAGTACCAGATGAAAACTTCATAGAATTCAGAACTGAGTTATTCTAACCCAGTGGATGTAGATTGTAGGTTTACGGCACCCGTAGTGTTTATTACGTGAAAGATTCATTTATATAATTCATTTTAGTGTCTATATTTATCACCCATTATCTCCTATACTGCCAGCTATGGCAAACTTAGACGTTACAGAATGCAAATCAAATGAGATAGCAGTTGTTTTGGCAGGTAGATAGGGACTGGCTTCTTTAAAAAAAACATCATTTCTTGGTAGAATTTTCAATACATTTCTTCTTCTTGTGTAGGATTTATTTAACTTTTCCATCCTTTGTTCTCCTCTTTGGTTGTTTCCAAGAAAATTCTTTACTTCTAATATAAGCAGTTATGCTGATGCCACAACACCTGATTGCTCGTTGTTGGTTTGCACATCATGCACTTCACCAAGCCAAATTATATTTAAAATTATAATGCTGATGCCACAACACCGTTGTTTTATGTGACCAACCCATCTAAGGCGACTCTCTTTAATCATATGTGCCACTTGAGCTACTCCAACCTTTTCACATATATGCTTATTTCATATTCTATCTCCAAGAGCAAAGCTACTCATCCACTTGAGCATCCTCATCTCAGCAACACTTAACTTAATATTATCCTTTTCTTTTAATGGCCAACATTCTGCACCATAAAGCATTGCAGGTCTAACCACCATCTTATAGAATTTTTCCTTAAGTTTGAGTGGTACTTTTCTATCACACAATAAGCCCGATGCATTCCTCTACTTCATCCATCCAACTTGAATTCTACTAATAATATCACCATCTATTTCACCATCACTCTGAACAATAGACCCAATATATTTAAAATGTGTACTCTTATTGATGACTTGATTGCTCAAAGTCAAACCTCCCACTAGAACTATTACTACTAAAATTACACTCCATGTATTCGTTTTTAGATCCACTCAAAAGAAAACCTTTAGACTCTAAGGTTGACCTCCATAATTCAAGTTTACCTTTAACTCCCTCTTTAGTCTTATAAAAAAAAAAAAAGAATATCGTTAGCAAAAAGTGTATACTAGAGAACATCCTCTTGCAAATCTCTAGTAAGAACATCCATGACTAAAGAAAAAAGATATGGGCTTAAGGGTGATTCTTGATGTAATCCAACTGGAATTGGAAAATACTTGGTCAAACCACCTTGTATTTGAACACAAGTAACAGCTCCAACATATATATCCCAAATGACTTGAATATAAGCGTTATTAATCCCTCTCTTTTAAAACTCTCCATAGCACTTCTCTTAGAACTTTATCATAAACTTTCTCTAGGTCAATAAATATCATATGAAGATCTTCCTTTTTTCTCTCTATACTTCTTCATCAAACCTGTCAATAAATATATGACTTTCATATTAGACCTACCCGGCATGAATAAAAATTGATGTTGAGAAACATTAGTATCACATTGTAACCTATGCTCTATATCTCTTCCATAGTTTTAAAGTATGACACATTAACTTAATTCTTCTATAATTTACACAATCTTGTGCATCACCTTTATCTTAAAGATAGGAATCAATACACTCATTCTCCATACATCTGACATCTTTTTAGTCTTTAAAATAATATTAAAAGTTTAGTAAGCCAAGATATCCCTTTGTCTCTTAAGAATTTTGATAGGAAGTACTTATAGACCGCGAGTATTTCCTATCAATCTTCTAAAAAAACAGCGAGAATTCTTCACAATAATCCGCACAAAATCACAAAAACAGTAGATAATTTGTATTACTTGTGAAAGCGAAACGGAAAATAGCAAGATACACTTGATCCTCTATTCGAGAGGAGGATCGATCTCTCCCAAATCTCTAGACGCAGCTAGAGCCCAAAGGAAACTTAAAATTTAAGAGATCTCAAATTTCAGCCAAAGACGCCCTAACCCTAAGAAAACAAAGTATTTAATGCATATAAATCAAAAGGAAATCCCTAAACAATATTGACATTCAAATTCCCCTCTTAATTCCCCCAAAAATCATTCCTATTGGGCTCCCTATGCGGTTTCGGATCGCACGGCTCTGCCTGGAGGCGGAAGAGATCCATCTCGGGACCGGCTAGACAGATCCATTGGACCGGGTCTAACAATACTCCCCTCCCAAAGATCCACCTTGTCCGCAAGGTGGAAAGACGACACCCTCCATTCATTCTTCATCACAAACGGTAATAATATGAAGAGTTCGGTCTTTACACTTGTGCCCGGTGTATACCTCTCTTCACATCTGAAACAAAGCCCCTTCACCCTCTTCTCTTGTAATTCTATCTTTGTGAGCTTCTTGAAGTTGTCCCTAGGTCTTCCTCCTGCAGTCTTGTCCTTCGAAGTCTTCGAAGAGTATCCGTTGTTGGCTCCTTGGATTTCAATAAGATGGTGGTCATCCTGTACGAGCCTCCTGAGCTGCCGCCTCCTATCTCTTCCTCCAGGTGCCTCTGATCTTCTACCAATTGAGCTAGCTCCATAGCCTCTCCTAAGTCACGAGGCCTCATTATTCTAACCACTGCTTGGATCTTTGGTGTCAATCCCTTCATGAAGTTTCCCTCTAGCACTGTCTCAGAAAAGGCGGTCCAATCGACTAGCAAGGTATTCAAATCTCTATCGGCACTTCGTCACTGAACCCTCCTGTGTCAAGGCGAAGAACTGCTCGTAGAAGTCTCCTCCCCTACCCATTCGGAAACGTTCTATCAAACAATTGATGTAAACACACTAGTTAGAAAAGTCAAAACAAGGAGAACCAGACTCGATTCAAATAGTAGCAATCATCTATAACATCCAAAATCCGACAAAAAAAAAAACTAGAAGATAAGTCAAAAGAAACAAAGAAAATAAAAAAAATGCTATCCTCAGATAACCGTCAGAGCGGGTTCCTCACATGCATCGAAATGTAGGTTAAAGTAAGATTAGTGCTTAGGACTAGCAAACCGATGGTCCACCACAGCAAGATCGTCCAACCGTCCAATTCAAACTCCTCCAGCAAATGCTCCCAAATCAGCTAACAAACACCACCAAAGCTCAAGAAGAAGGATACAAATGGAGTGGAACTTGCGGAGAGACGAATAGATAAGAAACCAAGATGAAAGAGGAGAAGCTCGCAAGCTTTCCTAGAGGAGGAGAATGTAATAAGCTCGCAAGCTTTTCCAAGAAGAACCCGCAGGTTTATAGCAAATTTGTTCTCAATATTCAACTCCCATTCCCTCTCAAAACATCTTATATTTATAGGCAAGAGAGGAGAAACCAAATAGCCAAAAAAAAAAAAACCTTTCATATTCTTAATTTAATGAGGGAAATTAAAAGCCAATAGCCACCTCATAATATTCTCCAATTCTACACAGGAAACAAAGCACCAAAGCCACGGAAAAGCCCCACAACAGCCACTGGAAAATAGCCCTGGCGGAACCTGAAGAGGCAGCCGCAAGAACCAGGCACGGGAAACCCACCCAGCACAGAAAACTAATAGTCAGCCACGGAAGCCCACGGGACAAAGGAACGAAAATAGCCAGCCAGCATAGGAACCTAAGGGACAAGCTCATAATTTTAAGAAGAAAAGGGGAGGAGAAGAGACCAGACCACTCCATAATGAATACAACTTATGAGCTTACCTTAGAAGATTAATGAGCTAGCAACTTAGTAATTAGAGCTCAACACCAATGAACCACCTCCTTCCAATCATCACCATAAGCCAACCCATGAACCAGCAGCAGCCAAGGACAAATCAAGCTGGCAAACCAAAGGTCTACCAAGCCCTCAAGCACAACATACCATGATCACTGGATGCCTTCCATCATTGGATAGCTAAAAAGAAAAAAAAAACATAAAAAAACTACATTAACATACTAATGTTTATCATAAAATAAAAATATAGAATATTTGATAGCATCAATTCCCCCATGGCGGGAAATTCTCATCTCCTGATGAGAAGGCTTCAATAACTCTTTTATAAAGCTCCAAATTTCAATTTTTTAGATCAGCAACATCAATCCAGGTGCAATCAGTTAATGGTCGATTGCTTCATTTGACCAAAAACCTCTTATGTTCACCATGTATCATTTTAGTGATTTTATATCAACAACATCTTCAATCTGATCTTCAGATTTTGCCAAAGGAGTAGAGAGTGGCAAAGTTTCAATGTCTACAGAATCATCAGAATTTCCTTCATATAAAGGCAGGTCAAAAATATTAAAAACAGGAGAAATGACAACAGTAATATGTAGATCCACAAGTAGGCATTAGTGCCTAATTTTCGAAGCGCACGAAAATGGCCAAATTTCTTTCTGCTTAACTTTCTAAAAGTACCAACAAGAAATCGTTGTCGACGAAAGTAAGCCATAACCAAGTCACCCAAATTGAAACTCACTTCTTTTCGATGTTTGTCAGCAGTAGATTTGTACTTAGCATTAACCTTTTGGAGTTTTTCAAGGACCTGCTATTGGACAGTCTTTATGTGGTCAAATGTTTCAAAAGCTTCAGCACTAGTTTTATTAGGTAATGACAAGCAGTTTCTATCTAAAATGTGAGGAATATGTTGCCCATAAATAATTTCAAAAAGAGATTTGCCAGTGGAACGATTAACAGAATTATTGTAAGCAAACTCTGCCTGAGGTAACACTAAATCCCATTGAGATGGTTTTTTTCCAGCAAGACATCTTAACAAATTTCCTAAGCTTATATTAACAACTTCAGTTTATCCATCAGTTTGAGGATGATAGGCACTACTATATTGAAGAGTAGTTCCAAGTTTTGCCCAAAGAGTTCTCAAAAAATGATTCAAAAATCTAGTGT